CCTGATTTGTGCTCAGCTTCTCAAAACTGTTGATTGTAGGTCTCATGCCTCAATTTTTCAGTCTGAAATTCTTATTTGGGGTCCAACAACTGGCATATAGTGTATTTGGCTGTCCAAGTATATTGTATGTTCAAAAGGTTTTTATAACTGAATTCATGCTTATGTTAATTTGCATCAGGCTCATCCTGAGGTTATTAACGTAGGTACAGGTCCTTAGGCAGTGCTCATCTCTCTTAAGGACTGATTTTTGAGGTGGAGATTTAGCTCCTTGCTGAGAGAGCTAAATCTCACTTTTTTTCAACAACTTGTTTAGCTGAGAATCTGATTTTTTTTTTACATTGATCTGAGCAACTGTTCCTAATTCCACAACACAAGCCTGCTACTCCATTTGATAACCACAAACCTTTACCTGAACTTCTCTCTCCTTCTTTGATCTGTTCTCATTGTTTCTGTTAAAATCTGTTTTCATTACGTAGTATTAGCATCTTTTAAACAACCCCCCCCTTTTGCGTGTGTGTGTTGTGGAAACTGAGCAATTAATCAAGAGAAGAAATAATAGAAGACAAGTCTCCCTGTGGAAGAATGACCCTACTTACCACTTTGCTATCATTTTTATAAGTGTGTAGTAATTGGGGAATAGGTTAATTTGTTGTCACCTGACAAGTGGCTAACACACGGCGGTTTGGCATTATCAAAACCTGTCATAAAACGAACACGGTTTAGTACAACGTAGGCGTAAACCCGTGTTCCAACAATTTCCCCCTTTTTGATAATGGCAAACAAGACGGGGATATGCATACTAAGGGATATTTGATTTTCAGAAAGTTGTGAAGAAGTTCCCCCTTAATTTGTGCTAAAAAATAGTCGGATTAAAAGCAAACGGTCTCGTTTTAGGGGCGTTCCCCCTTAGTATATGCATAGCCCTTTTCTTCCCCCTTTTGACATAAACAAAAAGATAAAGGATAATTTTATTTATTAAAGGGAAAAGGCAGAGTACAACGGAAGCAATAAAAAACATGATAATTGAAAGAAGGGAGATAGAAAATCTAGGGGAGTCCTAGTCTTCGTCTTCGGTTTCCTCCTCGTCGTCGTCGACGTCCATTTCATCCCCATCGATGGCATCGTCGAACTCGTCTTCATCCGGGGAGCTTGACGGGGCGTAGGAGTCATCGTCTTCGTCCTCGTCACCGTACACTTGCCCAAAGAACGTGCCGTGGTACGGTGGGGGGACGTAGTTAACGCGTTGGAAGTACGCGTTCATAGCATATCCTTGACGTTGGACAGCCTCGTCTAGCTGTTCAAGGTACCCGTCCATCCCGTTGACTTTGAAGTGTAGCCGGGTGAGGGAGTCGGCGATGGAGGCTAGGTTGGCCCGGGCCTGGGGTTTGGCTGGGCCAGTGGCAGTGCGGCGTGGCGCGGCAGTGGCAGGCGCGGCGTTGTCCGACCGCTTTGTGAAGGTTTGGGCGCTGATCGTCCAAAGCTTCGTGGCCTTCGTGAGCGGGCCAACGGTGGTGGTGACCTTGAACCGTTCAAGGATGTCCATCACCACGAACGGGTACGGGAGAAGGTGATCGTGGTCGGTGGACGCGGCGACCGTCATGTTGATCATGACAAACTTTGCCCAATTGATTGGGGCCGTGTGCATGATCGCATGGATGAGTTTGAGGTCCTCACCGGACATGATCGTGTGCCCATGCTTCCGGGGCTTGATGATTCGGGACACAATGTAGAGAAGGAGTCGGCTCTTGGGGTTCGCGGAGTGGATGGTGGGGCGACCCGAGGCATGGCGGATGAGCTCGGTGATGCCAAGCTCGTTGAGGATAAGGCCCTCGTTGTTGAGCACCTAGTCCTCTCCGCCATAGTGGGAGACGTCGTCGCCTTGGTAGGGGAGGCTGGCGATGTGCCCAAGCTGCTCAACGGAAAGCTCAATCGGCGTGCTCTTGACAAGAGAGTAGAGCACGTCGTCCTCACGCCGGAGGTTGGAGTAGAAGACCCGAATCAGCGCCGGGTTGATTTCCTTCCGAGCCCGGGAGACGAACGGCCATAGGCCGGTTTGATGGAGCTGCGCGTCTAAATCGTTGTAGCCCTGCAGCTCGGGGAAGCGCTCCGGGACGATTCGCGGGGGAGCCACAACCCGTTTAGAGAAGAAAGTGAGGAAACGGGTGCGCTCCTCCTCGGAATCGAACCAGAGATACGATCCGTCGCCGTAGTAGAGGCGCTCCTTGGAGTTTGTGGACGGTGCCCGGGATTTAGACTTAGATTTCCCGGAGGTAGCAGCCCTGCCCTTGTCTTTGCCCATGGTGATGAAGAAATCTCAAGAGAAAAAAATGGTAGAGAAGATAACATATGCAAGGAGATTGAAGAAGATTGAGTTTAGATGTGAGAAGAAGGTGAGTAGGAGGCCAAATATATATAGGATTAGGTTTCCAACGTTCAAAAATTCAAAAATCTGGCAGTTGGAGCATTTAATTCAGTGCCCAACGGGTATATTTTTGAAAAAAATCTGTTTGAACAGCGATGTTCCAAAGGCGACATCGCTGTTGGGACAGCGCTGTTGGGCCTATGTACATCAGTGTTCTGCGTCAAGTTTTTAAAAACAGGTGTCAAATGGACAGCGATGTTGGGTTCCCTACAGCGATGTTCCAAATCATTCTGGAATTGTGTAAGGGTTTGAACCCATTAGAACAGCGCTGTCGGGTATCTCTACATCGCTGTTTTACGATAGAAAAAAATTTGTACAAATGAACAGCGATGTTGCAATGGTGGACATCGCTGTTGAGAAACTTTCTGGTTTCGCTTGAAAACATGGTGTTTAGGGAGACAGCGATGTTTAGATCTGCTACATCGATGTTCATAAAGTTTCTGGAAAGTAAAAAATAGGAAGACTCCCTGTGACAGCGCTGTTGGTGTATGGTTCAGCGCTGTTGTCCCAAGTTGGTTGACAATGTTTTCTTCAACAGCGATGTTAGTCTCCTGGACAGCGCTGTAGGAACAGCGATGTTGTCCTTCTTACAGCGCTGTTTGCATGGTTCCCCCTGATTTTGTAAACGGGATACCTGCAAAAAAGAACAACACTTTGGTACCCAAAGTATGTCTATGGGTTCTTGGGGGTTAGTTGACCTTTATTGCCCACGCACACACATCCAAAATTTGTTTCCTTACGCACAATCACACACACACACGATTAGATGATCGTTTAGGAATTACCTTGGCCAACCCGTCGTCTCGTGGTTGGCGGGTTCCAGTCTACCTGAACGGAGTGCCGATATCTCGATGTGGTCTGTGTCGGTTCTGGTAACGGAATGTGGACTTTCTTCTTTTCGTCAAAGTAGAAGAAATAATACGGTTTCTTTTGTGCGTTTTCTTGTGGAGATTGCCTATGATACAAATGTCCTTTTCTAAAGGATTTCTTTTCATTAGCACCAGAGATGTTGTGTGTTTCATTATAGGTGGAGTGGCTATGTCTGGTAAAACACACGGGAGCTATATGGCCTATCCTATTACAATAATGGCAAAGTATGTTGGGATTGTGCATGCGCCTAGGTTCATAATAGTTAGAGGGTCTAACCATATTGTTTCTATTTTGTGAAAAAGATGGTCTTTGAGAGTTTTGAAATTGGCCCTTTTTAGGTTCTCTAACATTATTTCTTCTATTTTGAGAAAAATCGGTTTTATGCACAAAAACATTTTTCTTAGGTTGTATACCATGAACATTTTCATTCCTAGGTTTTAGTCTAGGTTGTCTAGTGTCCTTAGGTTGACTAGGTTTTCTATTATTATGATTTTTAAGTTTCTTACGTTGAGCCTTAGGTGGTTGTCTAGGTGGTTGCTCAACGCTTTCTTTATCCTTAGCCCCATTAAAACCTATTCCTTCTTTAGAAAAATGCATGGTGTCAAGGAGTAAATTAAGATCTTTGTGCGGAGTATTAAATTTCTCAACCGTACTCTCAAGTTATGTGACTTGTTCCTTTAAAGCTTTACAAGATTCACATTTGTTTGAGGAACTTTCCAGTTTGTCGGCGCTTCTTTTGCCATAAAATTTATTTTCTTGTTTTAATTTCTTATTATCTTTTTCCAGATTTTCAAAATCATTTTCAAGAGTGGATAGGCGTTTCTTTAACGATTTGTTGATTTTAGAAGCGCTAACAAATTCATCATCAAGTTCATGAAGTGCTTCTTGCATTTCTTTAAAAGTGTAAGAGTCGGAAGAAATGGTACATACCTCTTATACATCGTCGGTTTGGTCCTCGTGTGCCATGAGACAAAGGTTGGCAGCTTCATCCTCTTCTTGGTCGGTTGACTCGTCGCCGGAGTCGCCACCCCACGAGATATATGCTTTTTGCTTTTTGAAGTGACGAGCATTCCTTTTGCTTCTCGGGCATTTGTTCTTGATGTGCACGGCTTCACCACATCCATAGCACACAGGACCATCCTCAACCTTCTCTTTCTTCCTTAGAAGTTTACAAAACTTCTTCATGACCAGCTTCACTTCATCATCGTCACTTGAATCGTTCATCGTTGAGTTTTTGACAGCTTTTAATGCTATGCCTTTCCTTTGGTCATTCAAAGACGGGTTAAGTATAGTAGATTCATAAGTTTTTAAATTACCTCTTAAAGAGTCGATGGTGACATTTGACGTGCCGATTGACTCATAGATGGCATTGGCCTTAGATCGCCATTCGGATGTCAAGCTCCGTTGGATCTTTCGTACAAGATCCCTGTCGGTGTAAGTCTTCTTCAACGCATGAAGGTCGTTAACAATGTTGGAAAATCGGTCGAACATTTCGTCGATCTTCTCGTGCTCCTTCATTCTAAACATCTCATACTCTTGGGTGAGGAAGTCGATCTTGGCTTCACGTACTTGGTCCGTTCCTTTGTACGTCACCTCAAGTTTGTCCCACATCTCCTTGGCGGTTGAGCAGCAAGAGATTTTGCGGTAGTCATCAGGATTTACGGCACAATAAAGAATGTTTATTTCCTTTGCATAATTCTCGACCTTTTTTATGTCCTCGGCATCAAATTCATCTTCGGTCTAGGGGATCAATTTGTCCTCGATTTTTTTCATCGGCACCTCTTCCCCGTTTTTGATAACCAACCATAATTGGAAGTTCGTAGAATGAATATAGATTCTCATTCGTTCTTTCCAATATGTATAGTTGGTTCCATCAAAAAGAGGTGGCCGTGTGGTTGATTGCCCTTCACCTATTCCTGCATACAAATTTATAGAAGAAGAACCCATGATCTCTTTACTCTCAAACGGTTAAGTTTGGACGCGAGTTAGGCTCTGATACCAATTGTTAGAATAAGTGACCAACGCTAGAGGGGGGTGAATAGCGTTTGATCGTAGAAATCGCAGGAATAAAAAATTAAGAGCGTGAAAAGTAAAGAGCGTAGAAAGCGTAAAGGGAGCATACCAAGATTTATACTGGTTCACCACAACGTGTGGCTAATCCAGTCTCCCGAGAGACTCTCTCGAGCTACACTACTTCCGTTAAGCTTACGGGTGCTTAACAAACCGTTACAACCTGAGAACTCGAGTCCCACGAGCCTCAACAACACTTGCTCGGAGATACCACACCCCAAGACTTCAACCCGAAGGAAAATACCTTTCCTTCGTACAACCAAGGGAAACAAACTTCCCTTAATGTCTATGAACACTAAGAACACTCAAAAACAAGGCTCTCTCAAAAGAGTGAATATGAGTAAAGTAATACGCTCAAGATCACAACACGAACTTCACAAAAATGGCTCTCGAAAAGCTATGAATAATGTATGAATAATATGCAATGAAAGAATAGGAGTTGTGAAGTAATTTGTTATTTGTAAAACAGACCCAAACACCCCATTTTATAGTAGAAAAATAGGCTCCAACGGACCAAAACATTTAAGGGGTGATTGGCACAATTTGTGGGATTTGATTAAATTTGGATCTGCTGAAATTCACCCAAACATCGCTGTTCTAGGCTTGCATTTTGAAAATTGGGAAGCAACGGTCATGCCAACAGCGATGTCCAATACTCCTACATCGCTGTTTTGGCTGTTGACTTCCAAACAAGGAAAGTTTTAGCCTTAAATTCCTTCCAACGGTCAGGTCCCTACATGGATGTTCAATACTTGAACATCGCTGTTTTAGGTCTGACTTTGAAGGTGGAGTTTTGGCCTGACAGCGCTGTTGCTGGGTCAACATCGCTGTCCAAAAACTCTCTGCCAATGCACTATATTTTTGGCTTAGGTTAGACAGCGCTGTAGGAAAGGCTACATCGATGTTCCAGATGTTTCTAGAAACCCAACCTTGGCTCAACAGCGATGTCTAACACCCAACATCGCTGTTGGAAGACTTAACGTCAAACTATGGTTTTCAGCTACCCAATCCAGACAGCACTGTTGGTTGCACCAACATCGCTGTTGGGCTGGTTTAGTCAGACCCATGGTTGGTTTAGTCAGCCGTTAGCCGATGTCAAAAATGTAAGTTCTCCAAAATAAAAACCAAGTATTGAAAATGTTTGTTTAATGCATTTTGCTAAGAAATCAAGTAAAACATTTTTGAAAACCACGTCATTTAGTTGAAAACCACGGCTAGCCAAGTTTACGCCGTTTCGCATGGTTTTCACTAAACGACCAAAAACGAAAGGTGGTTTTTGAAGCGTTTTTGTTGGAGAACTATTTAAATATGCCCAGAAGTAAAAACCAATCATTAAAATTGAAAATCACTTGGTTGGTTCGAACGCCAAAAACCAACACCGATAACCGAAAGCCGAACATCGGTTTCCGAAGACCAAACGCTGGATGGCTTGGTTTTTGGTTTGGGCGAACTCCAAGTGTTTTTAAGCAGGTTTAAGACTTTAGAAAACCATTTTTAATATGCAAAAAGTATTTTGATGAAATGAGCTTAGAGAGCCATGTTTTGAAAGTTTGTGCCGGTCTTGATCACATTAAAACCGACTCAATACAATTCTAAGTCTTCGTTCTTGGTTCTTGGTTCTCAAATCATCATGCCATGTTCCTTCGCCTTTGATTTGCTCAGTTTAGTGTTTGTTGTCACGACGGTTTGGCATTATCAAAACCTGTCATAAAACGAACACGGTTTAGTACAACGTAGGCGTAAACCCGTGTTTCAACAAGAGAGAGTTCTGAATAAAGAGCACGTTAGCCAAGCAGATCGAAGACAAAAGCATAGCTGGTATGCAGAATACTATTCTGCAGGAAGTCTAACAAGCGTTCCAGTCAGTTGAACTGAGAAGAACTGGAGCGTAGGCTAGGAACACGTCTCAGATAAGTTGCTCAGTGTTTCAGTCTCGGTATATCTGCATAAACCGAGTTTATTGCATCCCATTAAGTTGTTGAGTTTAGATCAATGGATAGATCGAGCCTGTTGACGTTGAGGGTGTAAACTCTGAATTGATTTAGTGGGAAGGCTGTTACACTGACGTGGGCCTCGCAGACGTAGGAGAATTTGCTCCGAACTGCGTAAACAATTTGCGTGTTGTGTGTTTTTCTTTTTCTATTCTTGATTGTTTATTCAGTAATTGGTGAAGCACTTTGTTTTACAACTTAGTATTAGAAAGTGCTTCAGCATCCTTTGCCACAACTTGCTATTCTTAGGTTGTTACAGGTCGTATACTGAGGGAAGTGAAACTTTCAATTGGTATCAGAGCCATTAAAGCTTAAGATACTAGCTTTAAAGATCAAACATGGGAGATATGGAAGAAGGAGCAAATGTACAACGACCACCACTGCTAAGAGGACCAAACTACAACTTCTAGAAGCGGCGTATGAAGGCTTTCCTAAAATCACAAGGTGGAAGAGTCTAGAGAAGTGTTGAAACTTGCTGGCAGACTCCCACAAAGACAGTTGAAGGTTCAGATGCAAAAATTCCCAAAACATTTGAGGAATACTCAAAGGAAGAAGCTGCAGCTGCTGAATGCAATGACAAGGCCTTAAATGCGTTATTTGGTGCAGTGGACAGTTCTCAATACAAACTCATTGCAAACTGCATTGAAGCACAGAAGGCTTGGAAGATTCTTGAGACAACGCATGAAGGAGATAAGAGAGTCAATACAGCAAAATACCAAATTCTCATGACAAAATTTGAAAATATCAGAATGGAAGACAAGGAGAGTATTACTAAATTTCATGGCAGAGTGAGAGATTTGGCAAATGAAGCAGAACGTCTTGGAAGACCTTTTGAAGAAGACAATCTGGATCTAAAGGTACTGCGTGCCCTACCAGAAAGCTATTCAGCTGATGCCAAGGCCATACGTCAAGCACATGATCTAAAGAGGATGACGCTGGATCAACTAATGGGAAATCTTGAAACTATTGAGTTGGCCATGTCAGAAGAACAAAAGAAGAAGAAGACAGAGAAACAAATAGCGTTTCAGGTGGGTGATCTAGATCTAGAAGTTGATGTCATATCAGATGATGACTTTCAAGAACAGCTGTCACTGGTCACCAAACAGTTTACAAAAAGGTGGCTCCAGAAAAAGGGGAAACAGGCCTTTATGCAAGATCCTCAGAGAAGCTCTCAAACCAAAATGATGAAAGAGAAGGAATTCAAGACACAACCGTTAGAAGCAAGGAGAAAAGGACCACAGTGCTTTGAGTTTGGTGGTTTCGGTCACATTCAAACAGAATGTGCAAACAACATGAAAAAGAAAAGGCAGGCGTTTGCCTCAACATGGAGTGATGAAGAACCAGACACTGAAGATACTGATGGAGAAAGTAACTGCGCCTTTGTCACATTAGAAGAACAAGAAGATTCTGAAGAGCAACTCAGGATACTCCAAGAAAAGTGGAGTGATCTGCTTGATATTAACAAGAGGAATGTATCTGAAAATCTCCTCTTAAAGTCCCACAAACAACAACTGGTACACCACACAAAAATCAGAGGCATCATGCAACACAAGAAATCCCTATGAAAACTACAGATGCTATCGATGCAAAGAATGGGGGCACATTAGAAAGATCTGTCGCAGAACCAAGAGGGGAAGACAGAGAAGCCCTAGAGTCAAGCAGATATGGGTGCAAAAGCATGTGGCATCACATGCAAACTCATGCATGCGAGTGACTCCAGAGCAATGGCTATTGGATAGTGGATGCTCACATCACATGACTGGAGACAACAAAAGTTTGAAGAACATGCAAGAGATAGAGGGAGGCAGTGTCAGATTTGGACGAGGGGCACATGGACAGATCATTGGATGTGGACCATTAAATGTCACTGGACTTCCACCTATCAAGAATGTTTGGCTAGTCAAAGGATTACAGGTAAATCTCCTAAGCATCAGTCAGATATGTGATCAAGGTTTAGAGGTGACATTTACTCAACAAAAATGTCGAGTAAAGGACAAAAACAAGTTGGTTGTGCTAGAAGGCGACAGAACCACAGACAACTGTTATAGAGTGAGTCCCAACATCTTGTGCTACACAGCAAGTGAGAAAGATGCCAAACTATGGCATTACAGACTAGGGCACATCAATTACAAGGATCTGACAACTCTGTCAAACTCAGGGGCTGTGAGAGGTTTACCAAAAATCACAAAAATTAAAGATGAGGTATGCAAACCATGCCAGCTTGGTAAACAGGTCCACTCAAGTCATCCAAAGAAGACATTCAGAATAACTCAGCAACCACTTGAAATACTGCATCTTGACCTATTCGGTCCCATGAAAACTAAAAGCATAGGAGGGAAGAGGTTTGTGCTTATGGTGGTAGATGACTTTACAAGATACACCTGGGTTAGTTTTCTAAAGCACAAGGATGATGCACTAGCAGCCTTTGCAGCTCTTTGCCACAAAGTACAAAATGAAAAGCAGCTGAAAATAAAAGGAGTCATCCGAATACGAAGTGACCATGGGATATGGCATGAGTTCTCTGCACCAAAGACACCACAACAAGCCTTTTGAATAATACTGTGATCAACATGGGATATGGCATGAGTTCTCTGCACCAAAGACACCACAACAAAACGGAGTAGCTGAAAGGAAAAACAGGCATGTTCAGGAGATGGCACGAACAATGATAAATACTTTTGATCTGCCTAAGAAACTGTGGGCAGAAGCCATCCACACAGCATGTTACACTATCAACAGAGTATACATGAGGAGTGGGACAAAGTCAACTCCCTATGAACTTTGGAAGGGAAGAACACCAAGCATTGCTCATTTCCATATTTTTGGAGCTAGGTGTTTTGTTCTAAGAGACCGAGAGCAAAAGGGAAAGTTTGATCCCAAAAGTGATGAAGCTATCTTTGTTGGGTACTCTCCAAATAGTAAAGCTTACTGAGTTTACAACAAAAGAACCAAAACAGTCATGGAGTCTACAAATGTGATTTTTGATGATCGCATGGAGAAAAAGAACAAGGATGATTCAGAAGATGCTCCAGCAACTGACATAACACCTGTTGAACCAGATCAAGAAGCTCAGCCAGAAGAAACACAAACAACTGAAGTTGAGGAGCAAGAACCAGAGACATCTACTGTTCCCACACTTATTCAAAAGAATCATCCCCTGAAGAATGTCATCGGATCACCAACAGAAGGGATCAAGACCAGGAAAAAGACCATAAATTTTCTTGAGATGACAAAGGCTTACTATACGTCAAAAACATCAGAACCCAGAAACATAAAGGAGGATCTTACTGATGAAGCATGGATAAATGCAATGCATGATGAGCTAGAACAGTTTGAGAGGAATAAAGTCTGGGAACTAGTACCAAAACCAGACAGGGTGAATGTAATAGGCACTAAGTGGATCTATGGGAACAAAAACTGATGAAGAATGAAATGTCATAAGAAACAAGGCAAGACTGGTGGCTCAGGGGTACACACAAGTAGAAGGAGTAGACTTTGAAGAAACATTTGCACCAGTAGCACGGCTGGAGTCAATACGTATGCTCATCAGCCTGGCATGTATACTCAACATGAAGGTATATCAGATGGATGTAAAAACAGCCTTCTCGAATGGGTATCTAAAAGAGGAAGTATATGTGGCTCAGCCCAAAGGCTTTGTTGACCAAAAACATCCTGACCATGTGTACAAAATAAGGAAGGCACTTTATGGGCTAAAACAAGCACCTCGAGCATGGTACGAAAGACTCACATCATATCTGTTAAGAGAAGGATACAACAGAGGAGGTGCAGACAACACCATGTTCTTCAAAAGGTATGACTCAGACATCCTGATAGCTCAAATTTATGTTGATGATATTGTGTTTGGATCAACTTCAAAGACACAGGTCAATCAGTTTGTAAAAGTCATGGAGACAGAGTTCGAAATGAGCATGATAAGTGAGCTAACCTTCTTACTGGGTCAACAAATCAAACAGACGGCTGAAGGAATATTTATCTCTCAAACAAAGTATGCTCAAAATATGCTGAAAAATTCGACATGGGTGACTGCAAAAGTGCTCGGACACCCTGTCCAACACATGAGAAGATCTGCAGAGATGATCTAGGAAAAGATGTGGATCCTACCAAATACAGAGGGATGATAGGAAGTCTACTATACCTAACAGCCAGCAGGCCAGACATATGCTACAGTGTAGGAGTCTCTGCTAGATATCAAGCAAGTCCAAAAGAATCACACCTCAAGGTAGTAAAAAGAATTCTGAAGTATATCAAAGGGACACAAAATCTAGGGTTGTGGTACATCAAAGGTGGTACAGCAAACCTCACAGGTTACAGTGATGCTGATTGGGCCGGAAACATAGATGACAGAAAAAGTACTTCAGGAGGGTGTTTTCTTCTTGGAGGAAATCTGGTAGCCTGGATGAGCAAGAAACAAAACTCAGTGTCTCTGTCAACTGCTGAAGCAGAATACATAGCGGCTGGGAGCTGTTGCGCGCAATTATTGTGGATGAAGTAAATGCTAGCAGATTATGGCATCAGTCATGGCACAATACCTCTCTACTGTGACAATACAAGTGCAATCAGTATTTCAAAGAATCATGTCTTACACTCATGTACCAAGCACATAGATATAAAACATCACTTCATACGTGAACTGGTAGAAAATAAGACAGTGACTTTGGAACATATCCCAACAGAGGAACAACTTGCAGACATCTTTACTAAGGCACTAGACGGAAATAGATTTGAAAAGCTCAGGTCAGATTTGGGCCTTTGTGCTCCTTTCTAAATTCTCTTTTACACGTGGACACTTAAAGGCCAGCTCAGAGTGTACACGCCATGTCATATGCTGGAAGTTTGACATGAGAAAGGATATTATGTGGCACATTTTTTTTATAAAAAAATAATATCCGTGTCATTATGAAGCACGCTTCTCAAATCTATCAGGCGCCGTATTGTCCTCAAGAAACGAGAAGGCACAAAACATAGATTTTCAATCAGGAAACCGATTCACCTGGCCAGATTCATCCACACTCGTCTCCTTCAAGCTTTCCCAGAAACCCTAATTCTCTGCAAGTGATCGCAAAGCAGCCATGGTGAGAAGCAAGATTGCTATACCACAGAAGTTCAATCACCCAAATGTCTCAAAATATCAGCCCTCCTGGTTCAAAAAATACTGTCAAGTACGCAAGAAACTTCAAGAAGCAAGGACAGAGAAGGAAAGAATGGAGAATCAAGGGTCTTCAGCACATATCACCCACATGCAAGGGCAAGAAGATGATGTAGCACATGTACTTGCCCCAGATCTACCACAGGTGCTCTGCATAGAATACCACAAATCTGTGGAAGAAGAGGAGACCGTTGAAGTGCCGAAAACAGATCCAGCACCAACCATCAATGTGCCAACCCATTCTCCACCAGATGCTCCAGTTCAAGAAGACGAAGAGTTCATCCAAATCCTGGATGAAGACCCTCTTGTTGCAGTCTTGGAAGTCCCATTCCAGAAGGAATCTGTAGCAAAGAAGAGCAAGAAGAAAGTGATTCCCAGTACAATCCCTCAACGAAGATCTAAGCGGAAGTTGAAGCTAGAGGAATACTTAACTCCAGAAGCACCACCCTAGAAGAAGCAATCATCATCCTCCTATCCTATGGACTCTGCAGCTAAGGTCACTCCAGTGATGAAAACAGGAAAGTCTCTTCACTCTCGTTTTGTTTCTCCAAAAGCTAGGTCTTTTTTCAGTGATGTGCACAAGAAATCCATTATTATTCAAAGAAGAATTGATGTGGAAGATTTTAAACTCAAGACCAATCTGATTCCCCTCCTTGAAAAATCCAAACTGTTGAAGTCTGTCACTCTTCAAGGATCATTTGTGAAATCTGTTATCTGTGAATTTTATTGCAACCTGTCTGACTCTTGTGCTGATGCTACTGACCCCATGTTTCATAGAGTGTTTTTGCATGGCAAAACCTATAAACTCTCCCCTGCTGTTATTAACACTTTGCTAGATCTCACTCCGTGCAAAAAGGATACCCAAATCTCAGAAAAGACCATGTGGCTAGACCTCACAAATGGTCAAAGAGCCTCTCAGTCCAGCAAAGCAAAAGTTTCATCTTCAATACTCAAAAGTTCATATGCTATCTTACTAAGAGTTGCAGCCCTTCACGGGCTCCCTACCACACACACCAAAACTGTTTCCAAGATTATGGCAAGACTTCTCTACAAGATTAAACACAACATTCATTTTGACCTAGGACAACTAATCTTTGATTAGATAATGCTCTTTGCAGCTGAGAAATACAAGGTCAACTCCATTGGGCTTCCCTATCCAACACTTCTCTACAGCCTACTGGTCTCACAGGGGTTCAGCAAAGAAGAAAAGGATGAGGAAGAACTAGAAGAGCCACAACTCCAAGTGGACAGCAGGCACATGGAGGGAAAACATCACAATGACATGGAGGTTGCTGGTCCAACAACTGCAAAAGACAGAAAGGCACCCTCCTTGGTGAGATTCTTGGAGCAGAAACTGATGCAGGTCAAAGAGGAGTTAACCAGGACCTCACAGCTGAAAGAGAAACTAGAGATTGAAAAGTGTCAATTGGTGGTCTTGTTGCGCCAGGCTAGGGAGGCAACTCCAGATGTGGAGAACACAGACTCAGAGGAGGAGGTCACTGGGAGCACTCATTCTGATGAAGAGGAGTATCACACTGAGGGGGAGAGTGAGGAAGGGGACTTAGCTTGATATGATCATGTACTTACAAAAACTCTGTTTTATCTGTTTGTTTTTGTGCTGAGGTTTGTCACACCTCTGGTTTTTCAGGAGTATGCTTTTGCTCCCTTATGACTTGTCTTTTGGATTATAATGTTTTGGTTGGGATTTGCTGCTGCTGGATATGACATATGGTTTACTTGATCTGCTATATTGCTCATTCTGATCTGTGTTTACCCGTACGTGCTCCATTGTTCTTTTGCTTCCTCGAGTGACGGATGTAGGTACAGCTCTATGTCATAATCTTTAGGTGTTATATGTCATGTTATACATACTCTTGATCGGTTGAATATTACTCTTCATTCTTTGCCCCATTTTTCAAATAAAACTTTGCATTTTTTGTGCAAAAAAGGGGGAGAAGAGGTTCAACACGGCTGAGTAGTGGTTTTTGTTAAAAATTGCCAAAGGGGGAGATTGTTGGTTCCTTGGGTGTGTCTTAGTCTCATTGTCGTATGTGTTGGCATTATTTTTGACAAAACCATGTGTGGTAGGTTTAGTACTCAGTTTGTCCTAGCTATGTGATTTATAGAGCTGTAGCATCCTGTCCGTCACTCTAATAGTCCAAATGTATCTGGGACTACTGTTTACCAAACTAAAGAAGGACTCTACGTTGTTTATCAAGCTGAAGAAGGACTCTATGTTTCGCTGATACCTCGTACGCCACAGTCTCTAACGGTGATTATGAACATGTGCTAAATTGGAAGAGAGTCAGATCAAGGACTCTACCGGATAAGTTGAACCTCGGTAGTAGAGTTACATCAGGACTCTACTAGGGTTGATCTCGCCTTGAAAAGTATAAATAAAGGGAGATCTAGTTCTGTATGTGAGAGAGAGAGAGAGAGAATATAATCAAAGAAGAATATAAAAGAGAGAGTTCTGAATAAAGAGCACGTTAGCCAAGCAGATCGAAGACAAAAGCATAACTAGTATGCAGAATACTCTTCTGCAGGAAGTCTAACAAGCGTTCCAGTTAGTTGAACTGAGAAGAATTGGAGCGTAGGCCAGGAACACGTCTCAGATAAGTTGCTCAGTGTTTCAGTCTCGGTATATCTGCATAAACTGAGTTTGTTGCATCCCATTAAGTTGTTGAGTTTAGATCAATGGATAGATCGAGTCTGTTGACGTTGAGGGTGTAAACTCTGAATTGATTTAGTGGGAAGGCTGTTACACTGCGTGGCCCTCGCAGACGTAGGAGAAATTGCTCCGAACTGCGTAAACAATTTGCGTGTTGTGTGTTGTTCTTTTTCTGTTCTTGATTGTTTATTCAGTAATTGGTGAAGCACTTTGTTTTACAACTTAGTATTAGAAAGTGCTTCAGCATCCTCTGCCACAACTTGCTATTCTTAGGTTGTTACAAGTCGTATACTGAGGGAAGTGAAACTTTCAGTTTTTTGATATGTAATTTTTATTTTTTATTTCTTTAACAATATGTAAATAAAATGAATTGAAAAAACTTGATATTTTGCCTCGGTAATAGAAATGTGACAAATAATTTGCGACGGAGGGAGTATAAAAGAAGGATTAGGATGACGTGTGAGGTATGAATGAATGACAAAGACGCTAGTATCATGCTTATTTTTTCCAAAATCCGGCCATAATCAAGGAGTAAGCTTGATAGACAGTGGCAAGGCATCATGTCCTAGGTGTCTTTTTTAAGCCATAAAAAGACTTCTTCGACTAACACACATAATGAGGACACTTCAGATTAATATAGCCAGGAGCTAATGCATATAAAACCTCTCAGGCACCTTCACATGAAGGAATGCATTGGAGACATCCAACTAATGTAAACCCCGATCATTATTAACGGCTAAAGAGAGCAATTTGTATAGTAATTTACTTAAATAGCACTAAAACATAATGACTTTTCCTAAATAGCACCACATGTGTTTTTTTTCCCAATGTAGCACTTTTAGTCATTATGCATTAGTCATTATTCGAGCAAATATTTGCCATCACTGGACATTATGGACACTATTGAGTGCTATTTAGGGAATAAAACAGTTTAAGTGCTAATTGGGGAAATGACTTTAGTTTTGTGGTATTTAGTGCAAATATTTCTTTTTAAACCCACTTATAACCAATAGGGAACGATCTATGGGTGTTGAAACAATCTCCATGTGTCTTTATTTATCAAGGCAATGAATTCCTCACCCATAGCCTAACAGCAATAACTATTTGAATAGATTTCTTTGTAGGTAGCAAACTCATCATCAGTAATAGGTGGTGTAGAAGAAGGGATAGCGGGGAGCATAGAGTTTAGGTTTGGAAAAAACATGATCGAAGGGAATGGTAATCATAAGGTGACGTGGTGGAGGCAGTGGGGGAGGAAGAATGTTGAGACGATTCGGGACTAGTTTGAGTTAGAGTTATACTTCCAAACTGAATAGGTGAGGTGGGGATGGTTTGGGTGGGTTGCGGGTGTGTTTTGGGTTTCAGGTGCCAGTTGGGTACGGTTGCTGGTTTCGAGTATGGGCTGAGTATCGGAAATGGGCGGTGGGTGTGGGTCAGATATATATGTGGTGCGAAACATTCTGTTTTAGATCCTCAGACGTATGAACATTCAATTCCTTAGACAATAACGAGGACGAGACTTGATTAAAACTTAGAGTTCCAATGTTGGTGCCAACATTCTGTTTTAGGGTTCAATATTTGGCCGACAAGCCACATGGAACACAAAGAATAATGTCTTGTTCAAGAATGATCTCATGATCGAGCAAGTTTAAAAGAAGTCAGAATACTTAGAGCATTATCATGATATTTTTGCATCATATATGGAAAGTTGACTTCTTTTAAATTTTAAAATTCCCAAAATAGTACTTTGTAATAAGGGGTTTTTCCAACTTAGTCCTCAATAAGTTTTAATTACCTACATGGTCCTCTATAATTGGGATTTATTCTCAAAATAATCCTTTGTAATAAGGTATTTTCCCAAATCAGTCCTCAATAAGTTTTAATTACCTACGTGGTCCTCTATAATTGAGATTTATTCCCAAAATGATCCTTCATAAATAATATTACTCAAATGACGATTAATAAAGAGTATTTTTATCCGCTAAATTTATAATTAATTCTTAAAATAATTATTTATAATGAAGTACTTTCCCAAAATGGTTTTTCTAATCAAAGATGTGTATTTGTTTTGAAATTTAAAAGAATTTTTTAAGTTTTAAATAATTCATAAATTATTTAAAGTCAATGTATTTTTTAAATTTTTCATTTAGTTGTAAGAAATGATTGTTTTGAGAATATACTTTAAATTTAGATGATGAAAATACCAAAATATCTCCCAATTAATCCTCATTTGAGGACTAATTTGGGAAAATACCTTATTACAAAGGACCATTTTAAGAATTTACTCACAAATAATTTATTAATTATTTAAAACTTAAAAAAATCTTTTAAATTTCAAATCAAATACACATCTTTAATTAGAAAAACCATTTTGGAAAATCACTTCATTATAAATGATTATTTTAAGAATTAGTTGTAACTTTAGCAGAGAAAAAATACCCTCAATTAATCCTCATTTGAGTAACATTATTTACGAAGGATCATCTTGGGAATAAATCTCAATTATAGAGGACCACATAGGTAATTAAAACTTATTGAGGACTGATTTGGAAAAACACCTTATTAGAAAGGACTATTTTGGGAATAAATCTCAATTATAGAGGATCATGTAGGTAATTAAAATTTATTGAGGACTAATTTGGAAAAACCCTTATTACAAAGGACTATTTTGTGAATTTACTCTTAAAAAATTTATTCCTAAAAAATGTAATACTTTATTTTACATATTTATACTCCATATTTTTATAAGTATGTATTTAAGTAATAAAAATTTTCAACCTTTATAGTTACAAGTATTAAAATGTTACTTTTTTCTAAAGAACATCCATAAGATACTCCCTCCGTCCCATAAAACCTTTCTCCTTTCTTTTTTTATCCGTCCCACAAAACACTTCTCATTTCTATTAAAAAGTCACTTTTACCCCTTACTTTTTCATACCCTAACTATCACATCATACCTTTTTACTAATAATATATCCACCAAATCATACTTTTATCTATCACATCAAAGGACATTTTTGGAAATTCAATACCAAAATACATTCCCCTTAAATCCCACCTAAAAAGCAAAACTCTCATGTTTCACGGGACGGAGGGAGTATTAAATAAGGAATGTGAATCACGTAATTGAAAAAGGTATTTAAAAAAAAATACTTTATGATTTCGTGTGTTTCATATTAAGGAATGTAATCAAAGATTCAATCAAGACTCAAATTTTTCAATGGGATAGAGATTTTTATATACTCCGTATAGTATTTTTATTTAATAGTTAATCTATGAAATGAAGAACTTTTTCATTTTCTAAAAGAACATTTGTTCTTTAAAAAAATTCATAAAGGAAATATATCTTTAATAAGAAATATCTTCACTATCTTTTTATATTGAGATAAATATATTTTAAAATCTTAAATGACAAAATATTTTTTAAACTATAATTCTACAGCAAGGTGCAGTCGATACTCTTAAGTGTCAGCGGATGACACTGTCATGCATCTAGATAAAATATATTTAAAAACTAATTTACAAAATAAATTTAATAAAATTATTTTTATGTCAATATTTGATATCATTTTTTTTAATTTGAGATCAAAGATTATAAATTTTAACCGAAAAGGTCAAAAGTTGACAGGTACTCAGGGACAAGTACAAGGAGTACATTATAGATATATAATATCTTAAATTTATCTAATTTAGCATATGCTCTTTTAGATTTGAATAGTAGAGGTACATGTTGAAAGAAACTGAAATGAATTAAAAAAGTAGAAAGGATTCGAAAAATTTTAAAAAGAAAATAGAAAAAACTACAAACAGTTACAAGTTTGAAAAAAATAAAAAGAGTTAAAATGAATTGTTTAATTTGTTAATTAAAATAATTTATAACTCATGTTTTATGTTTCATTTCCTTCTATTTTTTGTTATATATTATCCGATTATTTTTGTCTAAGATCATATTTAGTACAATAATATTTGTGTGAATCACACTTACTTTTTTTAATTTTTTAATATTAATATCATTAATATAATTTTTCATTTCTTAGTTTTGTGTCCTGAATTCATGTCAAA